TATGGTAGATGGTGGGAGAGTAGTAGAGGTTGGAATGGGGGAGGGGGGCTATGTGCCAAGTATCTAGGAGGGTCCGTTGTGCGTTAGGATTGCGTGTGGGTTCCTTGTCCGGTAATGAGGATTGCTCTTTGTGCGCGTCTTTTATTCTGTTTTTTATGCACTTTATCTTTTGTTCTCACCGTCGTGGCTTTTTCCCTTTAGATTCTCTTTTTTTGCTTTTTGCATGCTTTGTTATGCCACTAAAAACAATTTCTACCGTCTCAAGCGTCTTACAATCTTGTCAGAATCTCCAAAACATTCAAAGTTTTCCTTTTAGGAGTCACGTTTCTTTCTCTAAAAAATTTAAATTTCGCAAGTCAAGGGTCTTCATGAAAACAACCTCTCTACCCTTAGGGGTAGAGGTAAGGTGTAAGTGCATCCTACTCTTCCTAGATCATGCTTCTGGGTGGGATACACTCGGTTTGGTTTGGTAAAGAAATTATAATGAAAATTCTTTGATTTTAGGACAAAAGGGGTAGTTTAGTATGATTCATTTTATATTCTCATGATTGTCTAAAGATTTTAACATTCTAGTTGAGTTAGTGATGCTTGAAAACTAAGCCCACCTGAAATGAGGTTATATAGCGGACTATGCTCCCATCTTGTTGGTGAAATTGCCCATATTCATTCCAATGTGTTTTCTATGACATTTGCAAACCAATCCTTTCCACGAAGATAAAGTTTCTACGAAACGATTGCTAACTTATTGGAATTGAAGTTTGTTTGATTAGCCCACTCAAATGTTGTAGGAGAGAATGTAGTTGAAGTATGTAATAATGGTAGATTAATGATTTGGAAGTGTTGTGTGGCATCTTCTTTATTCTCATCTGGTACAATCTTTGCTATTCATTTTTCTTCCACCAAAGATGTGATAATGTAGGCCTATTTTTGTTGGTCAAGATTTGTATACAAGCACTATAAATCTATGCCTACGATCAATGTTCTTGGATTCTGTGAAGTCATTTTGCCTATCACTAATCATGCAGCATGCTTAGTCACTAGATGATCCCATAATATGCTTATTGATTCCTTGTGGTCCAAAAGATCTATTAACCATCGAATCTAGTAAAAGGCCTATAACGTTAATATAATTTATATTATATGATCAATCATTAAGGTAAGAATGCTACTAACAGATTAGATATTAATATGCCCCCCTTTAATATGTCTTGTGGTATAGGCCTTGATCGTGCCATCTCAATTATGTTCTTGGTCTCAATGCAACACGAAAATTCTTTTTATGGCGTAGTTGACTTTGAGGAATTAGATAATTTCCTGCCACTTTTAATGAGTTGCATATGATGAGATCTATCTATGTAAAGGAAAGATCTAGTTGGAGTTTTATCCACAGTATGTGATTATGTGATACTAATTAAGGATCTAACCAGATCAATAATATGTGATTAGGTGATGATGAGTTGGTATTTAATAAGGTTGTGGTGGTATTGATGGTTTACTAGGAAACATAACGTGGGACCCAGCCCTCGATCTTTCTTTGCATCACCACTTTAAGGTGGTTGATCGCTCTCTCTCTCTCTATACGAGAGGCAACATTGCTACAACGGTTGTAATACGTCTGGATTTGTGCGGAAGTTGCTTCTCAATCTTTAACTGCCCTAAGAAAACAAGGACACCTAATAGGGTGGGAATAATCGCCAATCTCGTAAATCAGCATCTTTGATCCAACTAGTCCATGGGTTCTTAAGCACCATCCCCACATAGCTCAGGCAGACATAGGCCTTCTGATAAGCCATTGTAGCCCCAAGGAATTGATAGCACCTAGTGGGAGCCGACCTATGAGGTGCACATGGGTTGGGTTGTGAAGGTCTCGATCATTTGAATTTTGAATAACCCAACCCAACTACTTTGGTTTAGAAAATGCAACCTGTTCAACCCTTTTATGTATAACGCAAGACAACCCATTACATTTTGGGTTTGGTCGGTTGGGCTGTTCAGGTTTTGTTTGGTCTGGTCGGGTTGAACATAGAGATTTGGATAAGGTTCATGAACTAGCATACACAAATACTTTTTGCTGGAATACACACATATACCTTCCTGGAAGGTTTATTAGATGATTTCTTTATGAAGAAAAAATCGAGTCCATTTGATCCTATATCTCCTGATGACGGACCTCAAAATCCCTCATCTATTTTCTTTCTCACCCAATAACTCATCTTTATATTTGTGAACATGAAACCCCATCAAGAAGTTCTCTTATTATGGAGATGAAGAATAAGGGGAAAACTAATGGGTGTAACTCTATGTAATTTATTTCTCTTTTGTCTAAAAGAAATGAATTAAAATGTTGATTAGCATTCAATGTAATCAAATTCAAATAAAGAGGGTATATCAGTCATAATTAATTAGCTTATATCTACTACACAAATCCCCTTCTGTTCTGTTTATTTCTAGCCTAACAAACAGTGAAGAAGTGTCTACCAAACTCTATAATTGAATATAGAAGTATTTAGAAAAAGTGAGCATGCGCTTGAACCACATGTGATTTGTTGCATAGACTACTGGGTTGGGTTGGGATACAGGGAGCTTTTTGCTTTTTTGGTGATTTTAGAATAATACATCAGGTAGCTCGGGTTGGATTATTTGACCTAATCTTTAGGTTGTGTTGGGTCGGGTTGTTGTCTTGTTGGGTTGGTCGGAGGTTTTTGTGCACCCCTATGGAACCTAAGAAATGATGTTTCACGAGGCACCAACTCCCAACAATGACTTGACCCTTTGGGGTTTGATAATAGGTGTTAAGCTCCCATCAGAGGTCTTCTCTGTATATATATATAGCTCTCATTGGATTGATCTCATGTGACATTGAGTCATTATGACATAAAAAATTCGACAACTCTATAAACATAGCTACTAAACACTCATGCACTTGAATGTAGACTATGGTGGCACAACCTGTACTCCTTTTGAAGATAGATACAACACCTAGCATGCGTAGTCGTCAATTACTAAATCTAGTCGAGGAGTTGAGAACCATTATATAAATTTCACTACTTGTGAATCTCGAAATCAAATGTTAGATTTGCTTCAACTTTCTCTAATACAATCTTTGTAGCATGGATAAATTTAAAACTCAAAAAAGAAGATTCTAGTGATGTATAAGCATAAATTTACTTGTGCTATAAAGAGACATTGCAATAACTTTCTACATATGTGGCTACAAGTAAGTTTTGGATTGTTAAACTCCACAAAAAACACTTCCATTGAAATAACTTGATATAAGGTAATAAATGTTGAGTAACTTCTATGGAATCAAATAACTCGACTTGATTGTGCATACTAGGAACAATTTCTTAATAAGATGGTGATTTAGATCAAATTCTATTTCACTAATAGGATTCACACATTTTGTTTCTTGATTGATTTGAATGGTAAGACTTGAATCATGAGCTATATGATTTTGATGACCATAGTAGCATGCCTCCTTAGGTCAAGACATCAAAACTAAAACGTGTAGCGAAACAAGTTTACATGTTTATGGTAAGGCGCTGTTTGTATAGGATTTTGATCATAAATTCTAACCAAATATGTATTCCAAGTGTATGCTTTTTTGGAAATTGTATCCCTTGATTTTAAAGGCCAATGTTGCATTTGCCAAATCTACAATTATATATATATATATATATATATATAGCAACGTTTCTTTTTTATTTATATTACTTCTACTCTTTGATAAAAGCAAACCAAACGAACCTAGATTATCTAGGATTTGGGGAGAGTAGGATGTACACAACCTTTACCTCTACCTAGAGGAGTAGAGAAACTATTTTCATGAAGACCCCTGCTTCTAAAAATGTTTTGAGAAAAAGATTTTGCATAACAAATTTGGTTTCGGAAGTTTGTCGGTTTGAAAGAAAAGAGAGAAATTTGAAGTTTGGAATAGTTGAAGAAAAAGAGTGCAAAAGATAATAAAGCATGTGAGGGCATTAAAGGCATGCAGGAAGGTATGCAACCACTAAACTAACTAAAGACCAAGTGTCGCTAAAACAAAAAAACAAGTAAACGGAAGCGCAACATCACATAGAATTCCCCCTCCCGAGGCTCTAGTACCTAGTTGTCAACCCTCTAACGCTCCATCCCCATTAACCACATGTCTGCATCTCAACGAACTTGTCTTCAGAAATGTTTAAAGCTGCTGTGTCCAGTCTCTCAGTCCTCCTTGGCCTACCCTCCTCTTCAAATCCTCGACTGTGACGGCCTCCACCCTCATTGGTGCCAACATCTTTCTCCTACTAACGTTTCCAAACCATTGCAGTCTTCCCTCTCATTTATCCATAAGACGCGCTACTCTTAAATTTGCTCAAAATACCTCGCTTGGTATTCAATGAAACATGGTCCGAGCGAGCATGGTTGATGAGAAAAAGCTTAGGAGTGCCAAGTATAGAAGGTGTTGCTTTTGGCTGGGATGGGTTAAGATCTGGCATCCAACTAAGAAAATAGACTCATTTAGACTTTACCTAGCACCGTCTAAAAAATAACATCTTACGAATTCTGATACTAAATCGTTCCCATGTTTTTGAGTTTCTAGGGTATGTTGCAAAGTTCTGTTTTCGGTTTCTACAAGAATGTATAGAATTTTAGAGTCCAAATACATCTTCTTTGACTTTAAAATGCATAACAAACCCCTTTTTGGTTGTGACAACTGATGTAAAGCCCATCTGGTGACATAAACATACCCTTTCTCTATTAGTTGACATCTTTTGACTTTGAAAGTCAAACTTATATTTATGAAGACCGCTAATTGATATATTGTTTGACATTTTTAACACAGTTATTTGTTAATGAATAACCCTTGCTTGTACTTATTGACTATCAGTCCTTTTCTTCCGCATGATCTAAACATATTTATATCAATTTTGAAATTAAAGCTGTTCTTTTGACTATTAAAGTCAAACCATCTGAAGACTATCGATTCTTATCTGGTGTTGGACTTCCTTTGCAGATGTTTCAACCTCCATTCGAAATGGAAAATGGGAAAAATTTGCAAATGATTCCTTTTGACGAAAATGACCCTGAAGTGATAGCTCGACGTATAAAGAATAGAGAAAGGCAACGCAGGTATAGGGCTAGAAAGCGTCAAGAAGCCGATTTGAAGCGAGCGTGCATGATCAATCAGTCGATTCAGCTGCAAGTAGACGAAACCCAAGTTAAAGATACTCCTCTCGATGTTGTAACCCGTGTTTACAGTCAAAGAAACTGGAAAAAAGATGCCCGAAGGGCACACATATTAAAACAACAACAAAACAACGCTTGCAGTTCTACGTCTGCAATTGTGGATCTCCAAGCTTCTGGGAACCAATCGAATGTGATTGTGGAAACTAGAGAACACTCTAGTACACCGAGTGGCAGGAATTGGAAGGCCGAAGCAAGAAACAAGAGAAACTAAGATTTTGTTGCGTGGCAATGGCACGCCAGTCGAATTAGGAAAGAAAACCGCTAAAAGATTTCAAGAATCGAGGCGGGTTTGTTTCGACTCTCGCAAATGTCCGATAAAGTTGACTTTTTGGTTGACGTTTTGATGGTTTGGTGTAATTTTCCCGTGATTGCATATTTCAAAAAGGCGGCAAAGAATGTTTTCGTGAAGTTCTTTTTTCGGGTTTTCTGTAAAGCGTTACCTGAAAACAGTCATAGTCTATGGAAGTTACAAGATTCAGGTGAGTAATAACCATGAAAAATCTTGGATGCTAACTTCTGTTCTTGGTGTCTGATTTGGAAAAATACAAGAGTCAGAGGGTGATAGTTGTAAACTATGGAAAGTGCAGGGATGATAAATGTAATATTTTATGATCTAATAATTAGGTGGTCTGCCCCCCACATCCACATGAAGAAGAAATTCATTCAATCACTTTAACCAAAAACGTGTTTCTTTATTTCTGGTGGTGACACAGTTTTTAGGGCTGCACATGACAACATTTTTTTTTATGTGGATTTGATGAAGACACATTTGTCTTTTCCTATCTTTCTTTTATGCCTTTTTGAAAATAATATTAAGATATTTTTTAATAATTAAAAAAATGTAATAACCGGATCTTAGTTATCACCTGAGGTAATTATTATGTGATTATTTGATATATGATTATGTGAATATTTGATTAGTTGTTATAATTAATCATTTAGATACATGTTTACGTGAGATTAATATATAAGTGTGTGTATGTTATCATGCAATAATTAAAAGTAATAATTAATAATAGAGAAGTGTGTGTATAGAATCACCCAGTCTTATTTTACGTTGATTTTTTTAACTTTTTTATATTATTTTTACCTTTTTTAATTTTTTTTACGGTTTGAGATTTGAAGTCGTTACAATATGACGTTTAACGTCATCTAAAGCCTTATTTAGTATTTACCACTTAAAAAATCAATTATGGATAACATGAATATTGCCTACCTAAGCTGCAAATTGTAATAAATGGTAATATTAATATACCTTTGATTTTAAATTTTATCGGAAATTAAAATTATCACTCAAACCATCCAACTTGTGACAAGTGGCAAGGATTATAGAGGTTAAAGAGCTTATCAAACTTTCTAAAAATCGTTAAAAGCGTCATCCGACCATATCAATCGACAAACTAAAAGTTAATATTTATTAATTAAAATAGTATTTTATAGTGTTCATTAATAAATAAATTAATATTTATTTATTGATTAAAAATTCTAAAACAAACTGGATGATCAAAATAATAGCAGATTGAAACATTCATGTGTTAAAAAGGGTGTTTGAGATTGCTTATAAAAATAATTTATTGATTTATTTCGGTACTGTTTTGGTAAATAAACATTTTTTAGGGTTTGAATAGAATAATTTATACTGGTGTCAAACCGGTAATAACGAGTTTTTAAATAAGTTAAATCATTTTAACTTATGATAAGTTGTTTCAAATAAACAATCTCAAACACCCCTAAGGTTGTGCAATAGTTACTTCATTTTTCTTACTTTTCAAAATTTATTTACATCAATAATATTTTAGAAACAACATAGTTTGCTCCTAGGGGTGTAAAAGAACACAAACGGTTGCGTAAACATTTATTCGAGTTGAGTTTTTTTTTTTTTATCTGGGTTAGCTTAGATTGAGATTTTTTAAACTGTAAACATTTGATTATGTTGTTCAAATGTCTTCAGGATCAACTAATCCAACGTGACATACAAATTCGAGTCTTTTTATGGTTTTTTTTATCTGGATTGGCTTGGATTAAGATTTTTTAAACCGTAAACATTTGATTATGTTGTTCAAATATCTTCAAATCAACTAATCCAACGTGACATACTAGTTCAAGTCCTTTTACGAATACTGAGAAGTTTATTTAACCACCAACTTCTAAACTCATAAAATTGATTAAGGGGTTGTTTACCTAAGCACTTACCCGGTAAGCACTTACCGGTAAAATTCAATATTATCGCTTACTTACCGGGTAAGATTTTATTCACTAAAATGCATCGTATACAACAATTTATCTCGGTAAGTGCTAACCATGGTAAGAGCCCTCGTCCTTACTTACCGGGTAAGACTCTCGATTCTTGTCTCCGCTCTTACCGGGTAAGGTTTTTAGTTCTTTGTCATATTCATCCGGTAAAAGTAAAGTGACTTGATAAGCGCTTACTTGGATAAACGTTTGGTAAACGACATCTAAGATGTACATAAACTATATCCATGTGTTAGGAAAAAACAGTATGGAGTAAATTGATAACATGCATTTATATTAAAAACCACATTGATTTCTTTGCCAAAAACAATATATCATGTTGCTACAATTTACATCATGTTTCATAGTCTTTCAATTCACAAGTACAAAACCATGATCCACAAGAGGAGACCATAATCTCCCCTCTCTACATGAGAGCTTTCTCCATGCAAAAATTAACTCATTGACTTATTCCGGTGTGATACCGGTAATAAACACTTTTGAGTGTTTGGATAAACAACTTGTATTGGCGTCAAACCGATAATAAGAAATTTTTGATTTGAAGAAGTCAAATATTTTTGACTTATAATAAGTTGATAAGTGTTTTTGTAGAAGAAATAGTAAAATGTTTTGAGATAGAAGAAAAGAGGGCAAAATTAACCCTCATCAAGATATATACAACCAACAACAAAGAACAAGACTAGTAAAACAAGTAGTTCCATGATGATAATACTTGTTAAATATTACTATTTTACACCAAAATCCTTCCTTCCTTCATTGTTCATCTTGGTTTGGTAGCTTCAGGAAAAAAAAATTAACCAGGGTACAGGAATCAACAGCTTACCTAAGATTAGGATCTGAAACCCTCTTCGTTAACGCTAATCGAAGCTGATCTTGCGTGTAAAATCGACTCCCCATTTTCACTGTTGCTTGTTGCATCATTAATTCGTTAACCACAGATACACTCGCATGGTGGACGTCCAGATCCAGTTCTTTTAATGCCGCCATTAATCTTGCAGCAGGATGGTTTTTCTTGCTACATTGGATTCTAATCATGGCGTCCCACCCGATTATTTTGACGTCGATGTCCAAATCCGCCATTTTTGGGTGGTTTGTGGTGGCTGTTTTGAGGTCTTCCGGTGGTGAAACGGTGGAGGAAGATGACTGTCGAGAGTCTTTGGTTAAAAGTTCCTTCTTGGTGACATCTAGTTGGTTTTTGAGTTCTTCTTTATCTGTTTCGCTGATTTGAAGCTTCGATTTGAGTTCATTGATGTAAGAAATGGCGTCTCCAAGGAGGGAAGCTTTATCCATTTTTGAAACGTTGGGGACGACGGCTCGAAGGGCGTAGAATTTCTGGTTTAGTTTCTCCCTTCTTTGTCTTTCGGCTTCCACATGATTCAATGGTTCTTCTCGGCCGTTCGCCGGTTTTCTGCCTCGTTTTCGTGGTTTTTTCTCCGGTTCCACCACTAGGCGGCTCTCGGCTTCTCGTCCCATGGATGGTTCTAGGTCGGAATGGTCGAAATCTGCTCCGGTGATTAGGCCTCCGCCGGATTTTACAGTCTCCGATGTGGGAAGAAGCATACCGGAGCTGAATGAAAGCATACCTTCTTCGTTGATTCCCCGTAACGCAGGAGACCTCTTCTTCTTGTTGCCGTTATCGTCTCCTCCGATGAACGGAGATTGACCGGAATTCTTTTTGCTCTCACCAAAGTTCAGAAGTTCAACGGATTCCGGTTTACAGGAATTTGAAGAATTTCCGTTTCTGCCTCCGGTGGTTCCGTCGTACGATCCGAATTCTGAGAATATCAATTCCCTGCTACCGAATAATCCTTGATTTTGGAGAGGTTGACGATTGGAAACGTGAATTGCAGAGCTAGGGTTTTCTGTTAACGAGCTGGAGCTAGGGTTGTCGATGGAGATTTGTTTTGGAAGTGAATTGTTTGATGGGATGACAGTTGCTATTATATCATCGGAATCTTTCATTTCTACGGTGGTGACGGTGGCGGCGGTAGCGGCTGAAGAAGATACCGGATCTGTAAGCCACAACGACGATGGATCGTTATCCCCTCCGGCCGCCTGATCCTCGTTCATCGCCGTCAAATCTGGAGTGCTGTTATTGAAATTAAACAGAACTCGAACCTCATTCATGAGATCTGAACTCTGAAAAATCAACTCTGTTGAACCTAATTCAACAACTCCGCTTGTAGATGGAATACAAACGATCGTCTGCAAACCGAAACCTTCACCTTGCCGTGCACGGTCGCAGTGCGCCGCCAACAACCGTTCCCGTCCGGCGATCCAAAGCGGTTGATTACTGAACATCGCCTGACCTGGCAATCCGTTACCGTTAACAAACGACTGAGTCATCGAGATGAGAAAAAACCACTCCGTATCAGTGACTTCCTCATCCACGGCTTCGTTCTCCGGCATCTTTGAGCCAGAAATCAACGAATTAAGCTCCCGGAGCACCTTTTTCCGGTGTTCCTGCTCCGCAAAAGAAGTAACCGACGGCGTCGTTTTCGGCTTGTTCATCTCCCCCTTGTAGTACCCGTCACCCCATCCTAACAACGATGGACTCGTGTAATCAACGGCGGAGGATTGCCAGAAGATGGCATAAGTCCACGATTCACGAGCGTTATCAATCAACCCCTGAAGTCGCTGTTGTAAAGTATCTTGATTAAACGAGTGAGATTCGCCGATGATCTTATGAAGATCATTGGTAGAAGTGGAAGCGGAGGACGACGCCGGAGGAACCGCAGACGGCGCCGCCGTAGTAGTAGCAGTAGTTGGATTACCCCAAAACGACGACATATCAGAGCTCATGAAAGCATCCATCATGGCGTTATCATCTGTATTCCATAGATTCATGGTGGTGGGCAGCCTGTAATCCGTCATTCCATAAACCGGAAGGTAAAAAAAAATCAAACAAAATCGAAAAGGGGGTCAACAAGATGATCCTAACCAGCTGATTAGGATCAGAAGAAAAGGAAGAAGGTGATTAGGTTGAAACATGAACACGTGGCGGCGGCGGCGGCGGCGGAGAAGTTAAGGGATAAAGAGAAGGCGGCGAAGGGAAGAGGAAAGGGGGGAGGAATGCAAATGGGGGATCGATACGAGCTTAATATTTTAGTGGTCGACGAGTATCAGGTGGTTTACAGTTTACACGAATCATAAAATGGGATATTTTTTTATTAAAAAAATAAAAATAAAAATAAAAATAAAAAGGTATACGTGATTTTTAAATATAGTGATAATTTTAATTTTGGTCCCTGTGGTTATATGATATTTTAGATTAGGCCCTCCAAACAAGCTATATAGCTATAGTCATTATGGTTTCAATTTTCTTATATATTGGATCCTTGTCTCTAACTTCCTTAATATAGCTTTGTTAAGTCAATTGTCTTTATGGTCCTTTTACATTTTCTTGATATTCTATTAAACAGAAATCAATTTGATAATTTTATATTATATAATCTATTGTTTGTTTTTTGTATATGAACGTAGACAAATACATAGTACATACTAGACTCCTCTTTTTTTTTTTTTTTTTTGGCTTCGTCAACCACTCTTGTTTTCCTTCGTCGAGGCGTCGACTACCACCTGCCTAGACGTGTCCCACCTTCTCGTTGCCCTTCTGCTCCGGCCAGTAACCTGTTGAACTTGAGCAAACAATTACTCTATTTGGGAAGAAACACAAGGTGTTCCCAAATCTAGTAGAACTTATCATATACCATAGAGATATGGGTTTCTCGTATGTAATGATGAGATATTCTTAGTTGATCAAAGTGAGCCCACTAACTACAAAGATGTTGCATCAGATCCTGATTCTGATAAATGGCTTGAAGCCATGAACACCGAGATGCAGTCCATGTATTATAACCATGTATGGGACTTGGTTGATCTACCTCATAACAACAAGGCTATTAAGAGTAAATGAGGTTTCAAGAAGAAAACCGATATGGATGAAAATGTACACACTTTTATGGCCAAGATTAGTGGCAAAAAGTTTCACGCAAACTCATGGTATTGACCATGATGAAACTTTTTCCCTAGTAGTCATGCTTAAATCAATCAGAATACCCATTGTCATAGTTGCATATTATGACTATGAGATATGGAAAATGAATGTCAAAACAACTTTCCTTAATGTACACTTAAGTGAAAATGTCTATATGGTACAACCAGAGGGTTTTGTACACACCGAGGATCTTGATAAAGTGTATAAGCTTAAGAAATCCATTTATGGATTGAAACAAGCATCTTGTAGTTGGAATATTTGTTTTGATGAGAAAATCAAGGAATTTGGTTTTATCAAAAGTGAAGATGAACCATGTGTTTATAAAAAGGTTATTGGGTATTCTTGATCTTGTCTGTAGATGACATACTACTTATCGAGAATGACATCCCAACCTTGCAAGACATCAAGTCTTGGCTCGATAAATGTTTTTCAATGAAAGACGTTAGTGAGTCTGCTTATATTCTAGGAATAAAGATCTATAGAGATATATCTAAGTAGCTTATTGGTTTGAGAGAAAGTACATGCATTGACAAGGTCTTGAAGAGATTCAAGATGCAAGACTCCAAATGGGGTTTATTGTCAATGTCATATGGCACGATTTTGAGCAAGTCTCAATGCCCTAACACAAAATCTGAGCTAGAACGAACAGAGTGGAATTCCATATGCTTTTACAATTGGATCCATCATGTATGTGTGATAACCGGGATTTAAGGTAGCAATGGTTGAGGTAATTCTTATGTGATTAATATGTGAATATGTGATAATGTGCATATTTATTTATAAAGGTGATTATATGCATAAGTAAATGCATGGATCACATATATATATATATATATATATATATATGCAGATGTGATACTGTGCATACATGAGAATTGTTATATTATGTGTATGCATATTCTTGGTTAAGGAGGAGAGATTTAAAAATAGTAAAACTCCACCGCCTTGTAACTTTTATAATTTTAAAACCTTCACCGCCATTAGATAATATATATACAAGAGATAAGATCAAGGAGATACTTCTTATCATCTTGTTAAAAAGAAAAAGGCAGTGGCGGTGAGTGTGTTCTTGAGATGGAATTTCTGCATAAAAGTTATTTGAGGAATCTATGATTATTTGAAGAAGTTGTTGTGTGATTAATCTTCAAATCTGTGCATAAGGTGAGTTTTGTTGTTAAAAGTTCTTATATGTTGATATTCGAAATATATAGATTATAGTAGATGATTTTACGGATAAAAAGGGAAATTGTTTATCATGTTAAGTCGAGTTGAAGGATCTGGGTTTTGAAACTGTTCTTGAAAAATAAAGAAAATTCTGCTTCTTTTAAACAGTTAAAGATGATATCCTATTTTTAAGGATTAAAGGGGTTTGAGTTTGAAAAATTATATTAAAGAACTGTTGGTTCTCGAGTTTCAAAGTTTTGAAATAAAACTGTTTTGAAATTGTTATTGGTTAAAACTATAGAGGATGTTCCTTCAAGACGGTTGTGACTTCGGTCTGTCTTGATTGGAAATAATCTATACATTTTTATGAGGAAATAAGAGTAACATATCAAGGAGAGGTGTTCCATGGGATAAGGGTGACATATCAAGGGGAGGTGTACATTCAGATATAAGGGTGACATATCAAGGAGAGATGTACCTTTGGATATAAAGGTGACATTTGTATGTGTGATCGTTATTATAACTCTTACTGTTATGTCTCTTAAGATTGCAATAGTTTTGAGTTCTTATTTCTTTGTGATTTGAGGACTCAGAAATGTTGCTCTTATTGGAAATAATAGTAATTATGTTATTGAGAAAGAGAAATTTTGGCTTATGGCCAGAGGTTTTGGATAACCATGCTTTTGACAAGTGTACGAGTTATAAGGAACCAGAGAGGCTCTGATTGTTCCTTGAAAGGAACCAGAGGAGCTCTGGTCATTCCTCGAGTAGAACTAGAAGGGCTCTGGATAATATCTATCTATGATACAAGTCATTTACAAAACTTTTACTTGGACCAGAGGCTCTGTATCATAAAAATTGTATCTCAAATTGTTCATAAAACTTCATACTCTTATTTAAACTTTAAAAATTATTCATATAAAATGACTTTAGCAAAGAAGGACAAACCAGAGGGGCTCTGGTTGGTCTTCACAGTTAAACCAGAGGAGCTCTGGTTGGTCTTTGTAATTGAACCAGAGGTTCTGGTTAGTAGGACCAGAGGCTCTCTTCATATATATATATATATATATATAAAAGCTTTTAATTTATACTCTTTTTATACTTGGGAAATATTTACATTCATTTTATGTACTTGACTGTAAATGTATGTTGAGAGGAGCTCTGGCTGGTAGGAACAGAAGCTCTGTTCAATGGAATTAGAGGGGCTCTCGCCCTGCTATATGATGAATAAAATCTTTCTAAGTCAATAGTCTGGTCTTTACAACCAGAGGAATGCTGGTCCTTATGAATTATGGATTTATGTTCTCATTATATGAAAAGTTGATTAAATAATGTTTTTATGATCTTCACCCTGCAACTACAAGGAAAAAGGGATCTCACTAAGGTCTAACCCTCATTTTGTCTTTCAAATATGTATTGCAGGAACAACTGAGTACCATGATAGTAAAGGGAAAGTGAAAATATAATTTGTTTCCCTATGTGCATAACTATTTGAAGATCAGCCTATGGATGTGTTTAGTTTTGAAATTGTATGTTATGTAGTACAAGAACTTGTATTTTGGAATTTTTGGTTTGTGTATTTTGTACTTTAGTTTCTTGTACTATGGGACCTAAGTGGTGTAATACATGTATTTCTTTGAATGAATTATGTGTTATATGCAATGTGAGATGTGAGGTGTTACAGTATGCCATGTTATGCACAAGGCTAGACGTCTCATATGCTTCGAGAATGACAAGTGGATACCTGCAAAATCTAGGTGACCGTCATTGTATGGCAGTCAAGAACATTATTAAGTACCTATGAAGGACAAGGGACATGTTTTTAATCTATGGAGGTTTGGAAGAAGATCTTAGTGTAAAGTTTTACACAAATGCTAGCTTTCAAACTAATCGAGATGATTCTAGATCACAATCGGGTTATGTTTTCACCATAAACGGGGGTGTAATAAGTTGGACAAAAGCTGACTACATTGTTGTTTCTGAAACATTGCAATAAGTTGCTTGGATGAAGAAGTCCATTGCTGATTTGGGAGTAATGTCAAACATAGAAGACCCTATAGCATAACAGAAGTTGAATAATTGTTGCTTCTGAAACATCACAATAAGTTGCTTGGATGAAGAAGTTCATTGCTGATTTGGGAGTAATGTCAAACATAGAAGACCCCATAGAGATATTTTGTAACCATAAAGGTACCATTATCCTAGCAAAGGAACCTAGGTCATATCATAACACGAAGCATATCCTTAAGTGTTTCCACTATATTCGTGAAATAGTTGAAAGATGAGATGTTTGTGTTCGCAAAGTTTATATAGATCAAAATTTGGCAGCTTATTCTATGAAGCCCCTGTCGTATCCTAAATATGAGGGTCATGCTAGGTCTATAGGACTTTGTTATGCTAGAGATTGGATTTAAATTTGTATTTTAGTATTTTAGATATTTTGAAGCTTGTAAACGGCAATTGTTTTATATGATATGATATGATATACAAGGATATGATCATATTTACTCATATCTATGTGTTCTATAATAGCATGTTTTAATCCAGGAATAACTCAGTTATTCTAAAACATCCATGGTTAATCATAACTATGGGAATAATTATAAATTAAGACTAATGTAAATTATTTGGTTGACTTTTCATAGATGATTAAAGTAGGCAAGGCATGGCATGGCAGCCAAATTCACATATGTTTTGTCAGAGAACAAACATTGGACTTAACCCACTCCTAAGATCACTTCATGGATTGGCGTCATAAGTGAATCTTGAAAATAATATTTTTATCGTTAGACTGAGATAATATTGGGTCTTAAGTGAGGAATGTTATGCCTTGATACGTTCAAATGTCGTTC